AACAAGATTATTGTATGTAAAGTAAGATAATTTAAACACATTGACAGTGAATAAAATTAAAGCAAAACAGTTGACTATGTTTTTGTATGTATAAATATATACAATATTATTTTTTATATAGTTGAAATCATGAGTCAATTGAAGCTAGATTACCATGGAAAACCTGGAAGCACTTGACGGCCGTTTCGTTTTATTGTAGGACTCCTCAGCAGTGCAGAGTGAGCAGTGCTCCATGAGGTTTTTCCTGGAGTTCAAACAGGTCTGTTGGGAGATATAAACTCACTGAAGATAATGACGAAATCGTTCCTTATCTTCGTGGATTAGTTGAAGTTACACATTAACACCGTTGGATGCCGGTTCAGTGGTATAATCGTTAAGTGCTCGCGCGCGAGACTGACAGGTCCTGAGTTGGAATCTCGTGAGGCGGGATCGTGGATGCGCAATGCTGAGGAGTCCCACAATAGGACGAAACGGTCATTCAATACTTCCAGGTTTTTCATGGTGGTCTAGCTTCAATTGACTCTTGATTTCAACTATATATAAAATGAATAGTAGTGTGTTGTGTACTTTTGATATCGACAGATATAAGTAGTGTGGATCGTCAATCAAAAGTGAAATACCTGGAGGCGGAAGGTTAAGAAGCTCAAAGAAAAGGAAACATGAACAGAGAATGATTGGTGTGGAAATGAAAGAACAATGTAGTCTGAGATGATTGACTGATATTTGCAAAAAGAATATTCAAGTTTGAGACAGTTAATTGATATTTTGTAAATTGAGTGTTTACTGTATGGTTCTCAGATTATACTGAGATGTTCTGTAATTTTGCATTCAAATGCATTCCATTGTCTCCACTTGTATTCTCGTTCACTACATCAGTATTTGGCATAATTTATTTTCGAAGGAAATAAGAATTTTCTTTACACATTATATGTATATGAAGAAAGCAAATGTCAATTACAAAGTACTTTTATAGATCAAAATAAACTTGATTGATATTTCTACATTTCATTCAATGGTTAATAAATACGTTTTTTCCTCTCAAAATAAATGGTTTTTTACTTGCAAACTCATAGAAAAATCTGTTTTAATACATTTACACCTTTGGAAATATGTTCTTGTTTTAGAAATTAAATTCTTTATTGAGAGTGTATATTATAAACTTTAACGCATGGATTTTACTATTCACAGTAGTGTATTACATGACAGGAATAAGAGATTAGATCAAATATTTAGTTATTAACAAAGAAACAGAAACTTTGAGGCTATACTAATAGATTATTTTGTTAGGTAGGAAATTTGTAGAGATTGTTAAATTTTAAAGTTAGCATCGCTGATTGATCGTATTTAAACAAAACCTAAAAATCCCTGATAAATATTCGATTACTCACTCTTATCGTCGTTGCTTTTAAACAATAGAAACTAAGAAGTAATGTTTAAGTGTTTCACCCGAATATGATACTCCTCACCTGAGAACTTTCAGGTCTCACGGTTAACGTTTAACTTTGAGATCTCTGTGTCAGCATCTACAAGCCCACATCCCGAATTCCATTCAAGTCGTAATATCACGCGACTATCTTCCAAACACTTTACTAGGTAATCACCTCACATACAACATGATTGAACTCAACTGGTCACAACTTCTCACTACAATTCCAAGAATGACCTTAAAAATTTAGTTATTAGCGAAAACATTGTTACTATTACCATAGGGTGTTGTCAAGTTTCATGGTAATATCCGATAATGATTCCTGTCTATGACGGTGTAACCACATTTGCTAAATAAGAACAATTTGCCAAGAAGTATCGTGTTAAACGCAGGACATTAAAGTTTTAATATAAATTCTAGATGAAGTTATGAATGTCGAATTCTATTGTGTCAAGTAATTAATTAAAACAGCTCTTCAACTTTTTAATGTTCGCAGTTCTTATTGTAATATTATTTAGCGATTAAAATTATTTCGAAACTGAAACAATATTACCTACAACTATACTTCTCATAGTTATCATCCTACTACGAGAAAGCATTTTTTATGGGGAAATGAAGTACCTTATCAGTTAATATTAAGTGAAAAATGTAATACGACAAACATTCGTTGAAATTAAGGTTTTTTTATACTACTGATTTAAATGAATGGAAACAACGTATAAGACATACATTGAGGAAATAATCAAACTGTATCACTAGACAAATGCTTACCTGGGATCCTGAGGGGTTCGGAAAATAGGAAGATCAAATAACGCACTGCATTGGAAATTGGAAGCAATCATCAAAAGAATGAATAGCAAGTGGAAACAACTGGAAAGGATTGCTCACGACAGAGCTCGATGGAAAATACTGGTGGGTGGTCCATGCTCCTTCACTAGGGGTAACAGGTTATATAATGATATATATATATATATATATATATATATATATATAATGCATGTGATGAAAAACAGTTTCTAAATCAAAATATTGAAATGTCCAAAGAATTTCACCAATATAATGTAACGTTTTACACTTCATTTAGGAATTTAACCTATTTACGCTAACTAATTCATCCCAAAAAATGCCAATCATCTGTCAATTTTTGTGTAATATCAGAATGAAAAATGGTTTGAAAATGATAATTTAATTGATTAACTGAAGTCTCTATGTTTCAGTGTATTTACTCATCACCAAAACATACTTTTTTATTCAAATATTTATTTTGATACACTATTCTTTCTTTTTGATGTGGAAAGGGTTTTTTACTGTGAAGAAGAAGAACTTTTTCACTTCGTTCTAACTGGTTATAGTACTTTGTAAGGTTGATGAGTGAAACCTATCTATTTCATTTGTACTGAAAGGAAAGAATTCAAATTGTCAAACTTGTCGTTCATACTTGACAGAGTGATAAAAGTGGAATTTGGTGTACATATTAACCTAAAGAAATTCATTTTTATAGCACCATTGTATAACAGTATAACTGAATATCATATAAATTACGTAATAGACAAGTCTAAAATGATTAAGTGAAATGACAGCTGTGAGCTGTAAGCATGAAACTGAAACTTTTCACACAATAAGTATTTTATGGATATTTACAGCTTGTATTTCTAATTGAAATAAACTTTAACATGACAATATATTTGAACATTTCACCTATTGGCAGATAAACATAATAATAAAACAATGATCCAGCTCGGAATCTTTAGGTTCCATGGCTAATATGTGTTGTACTTAAATAACTGGGTTGGTACGTAATGTTTCATTTCCCAACTTCAAACAATTTTCCATATGAATTTAAAATTAATACCTATAAATTACAACCCTAAAATGATGTAGAATATAAGTTGGATTGATAAATTCCCTCCTATTTTCTACTGTTTGAATATAGTTTCTGACAGTATTTGAACAGTAATTGAACACAAAGTTACAGAACATCTAAGTAAAATATAAGAGCCATATAGTAAATACTTCATTTGCAAAATGTTCATTAATTGTCTCAGACTTCATTGTTCTTTCATTTCCATACCAATTGCTTTCTGTTCCCGTCCTTTCCTCCTCGATCTTCTCAACCTTCTGCTGCCAGATTTTCTATCTATTCATGACTAGCCTTATATACTATATATGTCGACACAAGTAGCACACACCACAATATCATCAGTTAAAATGTCATAATTAACTTCTTTCAATAAATATCTGTTATAGAATTAAGAATGGCTACGCGCACATAACCTAAAAGAGCGAGTTTCGTAAACTCTAGTGAGAATCCATGAAAACTGAAGGATGATCAGAAATATTGGGCTTTGCGACCAGACCTGAAAGTCTTCCATCGGATCCAAGTTTAAGTTGTGCGTTTGCCCAGATGAGGAGTTCCATAATAATATGGAATAACTCCACATTATTTCCGGGTCTTGTATAAATTGGTTCAGTTTGTTATGTAAACTAAAAAATATAGAATAGGGTCAACAGATTTGAAAAAGATGAGTCAATGTTTTAATTTCAACACACATAAAGTGTCACAATTGATCGATCACTGGGTGGTGATCAGTGGTACGTGTGTCAAGTCCTTCTTAGTACATATCAAGTTGCAATGTGACCATTAGTCTAGCTGCCTTCACACTGCGTGCACTATGTTGAGATAAGATGGTGGTTGGAGGTGGTCAACAGGAAACCCTGAACCCGGGTTTCATGCTACTTGGCACTTCGATCTGCACTAAAAAGGACTTGACACACATGACATTCATCACCACCCAGTGATCAATACATCTTGATTACATCTCAGTGCTACAGGAGGTCGGTCGCGGCCCGGATAGCTCAGTGGTAACGTCTCTGGCTGTAAACCTGACTGTGACACGGGATCAAATTCATTAAGGAGCACCAGTTCCTTCAAGTTACAGGTAAACCTTGCTGACGAGTGCCAAGTAGCACGAAACCCGGGTCCATGGTTTCCTGTCAACCACCTCCAACCACCATCTTATCTACACATAAAGTGTAATATTCTATCCGTATAAAATATTTAAAAGAACCTTAATTATTGTCTATAGATGAATTATACACATTTCCGTTCCTCTGAGATGATCATGCTGACTGTTCGTTCACAGTGTGTTCTGTAGTCATGGCTGGTGTTGACCACGCCTATCAGTACTCCGTGGAAGTGAAGAGCAGGTTCTCACTATTCCTGGACGACACTCTGGATAGTGAAGACCCGGATATCCTGCTATCCAAGTTGCAGAGTAAGCGAGGTGAAAAAACTAAAAAGGATAAGCCTCATTTGCAACAGCAACATGTGGCACCTCCAAAGGTCGACACGATAACTAAGAGTGAGGTGAAGGTTGAGACTGCAACTCCGAAAGCTGGTTCTCGGGTGTCGAAAACCCCCAACTCCACAGAGCCGCCACCGGTGCCACCTGAAGACGTGCAAATCACGTCCACTAAAGGGACAAATGAGCCAATTAGTACCTTTGTGCGTGGTCGTGGCCCAGGTAGGGGAACACCCCTAGGAATGCGTGTAGGCAGAGGGCAGGGGCCACGAATGGCTCCGACAGAATCACCTGAAGATTCAGTGTGTGATTTGAATGCTCCCAGAGGGTCAAGCTTTGAGCCTAGAGAACATGGGAGAGGCAGAGGAAAAGGAATGTTTGGTAGAGGTCGTGGGATGCCATTCAATTCAAATCGAGACTTCGACAATCAGGATGGTCCAGATCGTCAGGGTCCAAGACAATATGGTCGAAGAGATGGAAATTGGAATTCTCAGGATGTTGATGGTCAAACAATGCCTGAGAGTGGTGACTCAGAGCAAGTTGTGCGTTTCGCAGACGACTGTAACGAAATCGAGGACCAGCCAGAGCATGCCACAAACTTTGATATACATGATGACTCATTATTATATTACAGCATAATGTAACACCCAAAAATATTTTCGTCAGTGTTTCACAAACGTTTTAATTCTTAATAGATTTTCATTTTGCTCTAAGTAATAACTAAGTATCACTTGCAATGTAAATCACATTTGGTGCTTAGTGGAAACTGAAGATTGGGAAGATATACTTGAAACATTTCATTATGAGAAACATTGGCATCTATAGATAAAGTGAGCCACCTGGGATATTTCACTTAGTATTGTTTGTTTGAATCTTCCTATTAATGTTTAGGACTGCAACTGTTCAGTCTCTAATTGTCATATGTGCATACTCTACGTATTACCTCGATATAGACTTAATTCACAAGGATTGTAAGCAAAGATGGACGGATGGATGGATTCCACTTCTAGCCCCTATCCATCTTTTCTTACAAATGGGGTAAGTTCAATGTATAATAAAATTGATTTCTACGTCTGAAGAAAACCAGAAAATAATATTCGAAACTTTAAAGGAAAATGCATTGAGAGTTATGTCATTTCTTTTAAAAAATTCTTTCAACTAAATATAAATTCATAATAGATTCTTTCCAAACTGAATTTTACGCAACAAAACTATGATTAACAATAATCAGTTTATTTTAGTTATATGCCATTACTACTTCTTTCTATATCCTATTTGTGTACGATTATTCTGATATGGAATAGTTGAAGCAAAACATTCTTGTATAAAAAGTAGATAGATTTACAATTTCAGCAAAACTATTGATTCGTCAAGAAAATAAAAATTTTCAAAGAAAAAACAACTTCATATTATAGAAATACAAAAAAGTTATTATTCACTTGTTTTTAGATCTACCTTGTTTTATAGAACTATTGTCGTGAACAAGAAGACGAGCGGGGACAACCGGATGTATTTGACACGAAAATTACAGACTAACTCACTAAAATCTGACAACCATACAGTAAACAGTAATTTGCAAACTATCAATCAGTTATCTCAATCTTGACCATTCCTTCTGAAAATATCAGTCCATAAACCATTGTTCATGTACTTTCATGCCAATTGCATATCTTGGTCACCGGCTACTATGGGACTGCATCTCCTTACGTTGCTCCGTTACCTTGTGGATCAGACCTTTAGGTCAAAGACTCCGGATGTGGCCCCCTTAGAAAACAACTTGCTTCGGTCTGGGCATCCGGGCAGTATCATAACTCTCACACGATTAAATGAAGTGACATTTTTTTGTGTGGCGCATATATATATGGTGCCCCTTTGTACCAATATTTATGTGTTCAAATAATAAAATAATAATAATCGTTATATATTACTTGTATGTATATAATTAGCCCACACTACCTTATGATCTAAAAAATTATGATTCAGACAAATATATACTATATAGTTGAAATCATGAGTCAATTGAAGCTAGAACACCATGGAAAAGCTGGAAGTACTGTACGGCCGTTTCGTTGTATTGTGGTACTCCTCAGCAGTGCATATCCACGATCCCGCCTCGTGATACTCGAACCCTTTACCTATCAGTTCCGCGCACGAGATGATGATTGATAAATTTGTTGAAGAAAAAGAAAAACAGTATTTCTGTAATATAAATCTAATAATCATTTTACAATCTATGTTACAATGATGAAGATGAAATTCAGTTTGTTCACTGGTAAATCAAGTCATAAACTCAAGGTCAAGTTATCAACCAATTTTTACTATTAGTTCGGTTGTATTGGGTAGATTTTTGTAAAGGCTTAAATAAAGTTTAATGGTAACTTCTTGTCAAATTTATATTGATGAAATCTTATTCTGATGATAATAATTTTTGAACAACCTTATTATTTATTACTGACCAGGCTTAAAATAAGGCTTTAAATTATCTTTTTATATTTCTGAACGCTGTACTAAATCTTTGGCATGAATGACAAACATTTGAAGCTAGAGACAGATTATAATACTTTCCAGTCATTAGTGTTATCACAGCTTAGGGAATTAAGTCCACTCAAATACTAAATGCATTAACTTACCATCATCAACGTACTGTATTTTAATTTGTATTAAAAACGTAAGTTAATTTACATGAATTAGTTTACTATCTTATAATGTTATTAGTATTAGTCGCCAATAATCTGCATTAATACAACAAATCACTTTTCCGTAAGAAAATTTTTAATCAAGAATAGTTTCATTGCATGGATTTTCATTTGATCTCATCTCGTTTCTTCAAAAGATACACAAGAGTAAAAATAAAACAATCACTGTGGTAGATCCTTAATGGAGTTTGTAGTATTTAGCTTTCTGATCCATATAGTAGCTTTTCATTAAACACTCTGAGTATATTTTATAACTAACAAACATAATAAATTAGTTAAAAAAAGTAGGTAATATAGAAATTTGTCATAACATTTGCTCATTCTAACAATAGATTGACTGAAGATTTGACCGATTTTCCTTGATAAATTTTACTCTAGTGTTAAAAACTATGTTTTGTCACCATTCAATTGACAAATAAATATAGCGGAAGACAATCGAATCAATATAGACTCAGACTAAATGACTCGGACTTTTACGAACATAATGTCAGCTTTTAACTAACTGTAAAGTGAACTTTATTTTAAAGAACTCCAATACATTCACATTCATCATAAAATTCAATTACAAAAAAGTTTGAATTAAATCTTAACTTGGTTTTAACATAATTACTTTCGAGTGCATTTTGGTGGCCCGGGATCTAACTTCAGGTAAATCGTTTCTGATTGTTATCGAATGATTGCTGTCGAAATATAAATCTTGGCTATCCTCCTATATAATCATCGACTTGAATAGCATTAGCGAATAACGGAATTATATAAGTCAAGTATGAAAACAAAGTTATGGATACATATATTTCGTACGATCGTCGATCTGCACAGACAGTCGTGGAAACGGAGCGAAAGTAGCTAAGCAAAATGACGCGCAGTGGAGAAAGCGTGTGAGTCAACTCCTTTTAATCAAGCGTTAATCAATATTTATAGCCAGATAAAAATAAGCTACAAACATGTGATGGTAGGATAAGATGTGCACACATATACGCTCATTTAATAACAGTCAAAGTTGATAAACAAATAATTAACAAAGTCAAAATATGACTCAAGAAGAATGAGTAAATTGGCTCTCCCGGAAGCTAGATAAAGCTGTGTGGGCTTACCATAGCAACCATCACTATAGCACCTATGATAGTATTCTACCCTACCGCTTATAATATTACTTATATAATATCCTTTATGCCGAAAAAATTAGATGCAATACGATAATGATTATAAAGAACTGTAACCGTGGTTTATTTCATCTTCAAAAGATAAGCACAACCCATGAATGAATAACATTTTCCTATCAAATGTTAAAAGCAATTTACTTAAAACGATAAAGTTGATAGTATTCAATGAAATGTCCGATGTTTCATTGACCAATCTACGAAAAAGCTGAGTTTATTATTTTAGTGACAATTCATTACGATAACTGATGATACCAAAATGTTCCATCACGTCATATTATGAGATGTCTAGTTCCGTTATTTTATTCAAGTTTCTAAGGTTCAATACTCTGGTCGTAGACCATCATAAATTTATTTTACAAAATTTAATATTAACCAAATGTACCAACTAATTAATATACGAAAGTATAAATATTTAAATCTTTACGATTCGATAAAGTGAATTTAATGGTCCAAGAAGTCAACTATCTACACTATAATATTTAACAATCGTTTATTACAGAATAGTGAACACACGAACTGTAGTATTTCTTATTGCTTTTCTAACTTAATTGACAGATGGACATCTTCCAGCGATAATCAGTAAAGTGTGTCAGTTATCACGAATGCCACTACATGATGGTAGAGTTTTGAGGGAGGTTTCAAATATGAACCTGTAATATGGATCTAAGTGCTGATATTTCTGCTTTGGATCACCATCTAGTTTACAAACTGTAAACTCCTATGTCCAATAAAATGTAAAACATCCATTTAGTGAGTATAATATGTAAAACAATGCTTTTAGTTAGGAAGACAGAAGATGCAAAATATACCACTGATACTTCAAGTTTGAAAGCAACTTTGATGTGGCGGCAAATAGTTCAATGTAAAAATTTTCTTCTCAATGATTTCAACTTCATTGGCTGTATAACACGTATTGATATAAAATAATATGACATTTTTGTTTCATAGCAGACACATATGTAGAATTTACGAAGTCGAACTCATACTGAAGAATAAATTAAATTCAGAAACTTATATACACATCAAATACAACAAGTAAATTAATTAAAAAAATGAAAAAAATTAATGACCATCTTTTAATAAGCAACTTTCACATATAAGCAACGATGGATAGTGCCTAGCAGTGGAATCCAGGACACGCGCTTCATTCTATTTGGCACTCATCGGCTGGATGTACCTGCATCTCAGAGTTGATGTTCACTCTGGGACTCGAACCCACTATCGTTCTCTTCAAGAGCCATCATGTTATTCACTTATCTACAGAGTCCTGATAGCCACTTGCTTCTCATTGATATATAGAACTGCAATTGATCAGTCACTTATTTTCCAAATATCTTTGGATTTACCAAATTTTAACAATATATATGAATTTACTTGGTATTGTTTGTTTGTATCTACCCATTGATGTTTAGAACTGCAACTGGTCAGCCTCTAATTGGTATATGTGCATACTGTGAGTATTGCCTCGATATAGCCTAAATTCACAAGCATTATAAGCAAAGATGGGTAGTCCTAAATAGGACGAAACGGGCGTATTGGATTCCGCTGCTAGCCACTATCCATCTTTACTGAGGTAAGATGGTGGTTGGAGGTGGTCAACAGGATACCCTGGACCCTGGTTCAGTGCTACTTGGCACTCGTCAGTAAGGTGTACCTGTAATCCTAAGGGAACTGATGCTCCCTGGCGGATTCAACCCCGCGTCACTCAGCTTCACAGTCAGAGACGTTACCACTGAGCTATTCGGGCCGCGACCAACCTCCTGTAGGAGTGAGATGTAATCACAA